ATTCACTTGTTCCGATGATTGTGCACACACTGATGCAAACAACACCAATAATGGCTGCCGTGCTGTAGCCAACAGTGACAGTAATGAGTCCGAACTTTTATTGTTGATAACTCCAGAATGGTAGGTTTTATAAAAATTTCTTTATTTTCGAATTAGGCATGTAAATTTAGAATAAAAGAATAACAGTTCAGGGAATTTTTCTTAGATACTTAGTGTGGGGCTTAAAAAGCAAATTACCTGAAGTTTCTTATGGAATCATTGGCATAAATTAGTGTAATATTTTGAGCCATTATCTACATTATATGGCAAATAGGGCCCCAAAATCAGGTAGGGGTTCAATTTCCTATTATTGCGCCTCTGCTGTAATGTGTTGACTCAGTGAATTGGTAATATATATATATATATATATATATATATTTATTTATTTAATATTTTAAATAAAAACAGACCACTTTAAGGTTCCATGTAATAAATTATTTCACCGCAGTCCTTTTTTTAAGGGCTGTGGTGAAATAATTTATTACATGGAACCTTAAAGTGGTCTGTTTTTATTTAAATTATTTGTTCTGGATTTACATTCAGCTCTCTGGATTTTATCCTCCTTAGGTTTACCCATACGGATTACCTAGTTTTTCATTAACTAATTAATATATATATATATATATATATATATATATAATAAAAAGGCTTAAACATCAATATTTCATGGTCATAATTTATTCCATTGGAATAGTAAATATGATCCAATTCATCAGACCTACAAATTCAAAAAGTAATTTTTTTTGAAATAACTAATTCCTGAAATTTACGCGTTTTATAAGCATATTCATTATTAAAATTACTATGGTAACGGCTAGAGCAGTTATTTAAAAAAAGGGGCATAAGGGTTAATAATTTGTATCAATATCTCAGTTACATTCAAAGAGGTCAAGTCAGGGTAAGGTTGGGATGTCTAAATTCAAAGCGGAAGATTACCTCGTCTAGTCTGGTTAACTGTCTATAGAGATTTATTTATTTATATTTTTTATTTTTCTCCTGAAAAAAAATTTTGCTTGAAGATGGAACAGAGCTTGGTACTTTAATTTAATTTAATTCAAATAATTATATTGAAGTTTTCGGCTCTTGTTTTGAAACCTGAGAACTCTTATGTAGCGATGGAATCATATTTTTAAATAAATAATTATATTTAGGCTGTACTTTTGTATCGAGCACTGTTTTTTAAAAATAATAACAAAAATACTAAAGAACTTTGGCTAATTTACCTAATGAGTCCTTTTTACACACACATATATATATATATATATATATATATATATATATATATATATAAATAAATAATTTTTTTTTTTTTTTTACTCCATGTATCTTGAATGTTGTTTTTAATTTTTCTCTTAGGGATGGTTCTGTGAAACTAGTTTATGAAATTAATAAGCGTAAAGGTGTGACTCCAGCATCCGTTTCTATCACTCCGACTGGTCTGCTATCTGCAGGATCTAACACTGGCCAAGTTACCCTAACTATCACCTCCATAGAGACATTTGGAGTGAACCAGACAATGGTCTTCAATGTGATGGTAAGAATTTTTCCCCCCACCATCTTTTTAATTAAATAAAAATAATAAAACAAATATAATAGATATTTTTTAATAGAGCAAGACAGACAAATTTTTTTTCTTAATATAGTTCATCCCATGTAAGGCAGTAAAGCCACTAAGACTCAAAGGGTTACAGGGTGTGGAAGAATTAGGGAAAGAAACGTTAATAATGAGCTAGAAGAGAATGATCAGGAGAACAGTAGATAGCAATTGACATCGCATTTAAATTTTTGCAGATTAAAGTTGGTTGGAAAGCACTGAGTCGGAAGGGAGTTCCACAAGAGTTAACAGATACATATGGTTACATCTAGCCGACTCACCTGTAAATCGATGAAATCTTGACGTCAGTCTCGTACTGTACTTAGCAAGTTTTAAACAGCAGTCAACGCTGTATATTATATTACTTTGGGCTCTGCTAGTTATTTTATATACTTATGTATTGCCCAGCACAAGAATTGAACTCACAACCACCAGCTAATAGAAACTAATGCTTTGTTGTTTTTGTTGGAATGGCCTATCTTATCTGTTCTTTGTAATGGAGTCTGTCATGGAGCTCATTATAATTATTTCTTCCAGAGTGTGTACATTCATTTGCCTGTCCTGGGTATGATGATAAACTGTATTCACATCCTGATAAACTACAAGGCCTGTGATCAGGAGGTTTCTAGGAGTATAGAACCACCTCTTAACTGCTGATGTTCCCAGGTCTACCCTGACCCAGGGTGGTAGCAGCTGTTAGGGTCCCAGCAGTGGGCAAATAGTTAGCTGCTCCCCCCCCCCCCCCAATAAAACTGGGGTCAAACCACTATGAAAGTGTAAAAATAGATTTTAATACCAGCAATGCATGTTTAGAAAAAATCATTACCAGCAATACATTTGTTATGAGACAGCGTGTTCTTTGGCCTGTGTATAACTTTTGTATAATAAATGATTCAAGACAACAATTCCCTTTTATCTTATTTTGATTTGTATTTGATTATTCGAAAGAAAGTTCTCGTGAGAGGAAAAATGTACAGGAATCAATATTAGGACAAAGGACTGTTAAAATAGATAACACAAGAATACAATTGATCAGAAAGTGTGTTGTGTTAGAGAAATTAAGAGTCCTGGTTGATTGAACTTGTCCGAGTCACAGAGAGATATGTATATATGTATTACAAAATTCTGTGTCTAATGTGTGCGTTTGAAATGTTGTGAGTAAAGTCATAGGTTTGTGTTGACAGGCGAGATTTGCTGGACTATACTGGTGATTTGCGAAAAAGTTGGTAAGAGTTGTTGGCAATGTTCTTTACTGTCTGACCACATGGTTAAGACGGGAGCTCTTGAAGACTACATCTTGGCAGCAAAAGAAAAGATGAATGAAGAGAACCTGAGAGGCTTATTCGTGTTTTGTTTATATAAGGTTGTGTCTCACGTGACAGGATCTCAGCCTTGTGCGCAGGAAAATATTATTCCTCACCTGCAGGCAATTTGATTGGTCGGAATTGACCAATCAGCAAGCTAGTTTTAGCCAATGAATGCTTGCTGTATGATCTGTATGTATGATGGTGATGATGATTGCTACACATTTTTGAAAAAGATATATTACCAGCAATAAAAATCTTGTCTGCATTAAATAACCCATTGAGGTTGATATGCCCCAAACCAAACCTTCATTTGCCTGGTGAATCTCTGACAAACCACTTCAATGAAAGTTATCTTCCTTGCCCTGTCAATGCTAGCTGACAGTATCATTATCACAATGGTAGACTGTTCCATCAGGTTTCCAAAGACAGAAACCGAAAAGACTGAATCTATGTAAGGGCAAAATGCAATGATAATTGGGAAAAAAATTTGAAAAAAAATCACTTGTGTCTATTTAAAGACTATCAATTGTTTGGATTAAAAAAAAAAAATGTCAGGGTATGTGGTTAGGATTGAACTCTTGCCATCACATAATTAGTTTGCTAACCCAATTGCTCTCTGGCACGTACCCAATATCTATATTTACACATCAGAGTGAAATCTGATATGAAATCCCCAATGAAGATTAGCACTGTTCAATTTCTCTGTCTCCTTTTTAGGTGAAGCCAGCATCTTATCTAATGCTAAATGCCAACACTGTGTTCAAGACATCACCTGGGACGCTTCCAGCTCTCCCCCTCGGTGTGACTTTCAGATTGAGGGTCACTTTGCATGATGAAATCGGACGCATGTTTTTTGCCAGTAATATCCGGACCAAATCAAGGTGTAGCAGGTAAGAACCAGTTATGTTTTTCTTGAGTTTTCACTTGCTTAGCATTGGGGGAGGAGATTTGGAACATGACTTTGTAAAATGTAGTCATCAGTGTGTGGATGTTTGGAGTAGGGTTACTGTTGTAATGGAATATTCCACTCTCCCTATTACCTATTGTGAACTGACTATATCAGTAATATATGTATTGTGCACAGGACATACCAGAGTCTGTTTATCAGACTTGTCCGTTTGTCTATCTGCTTGAATGGCTTTGGGAAGTGTTAGTCGATTCCCTGTCTTTCAGTAGTGTATTCTTTTTTGCAATAAACCTCTCTTTCTTCCATCTACGCCCATGTTGCTGTTCCTTTCCACTTGAGTACTACCTTTGTCTGTTTGTAACCTTTTTAAGGATACAGCACTACCTGTCTGAGTCTGTCCATTATCTATCTGTCTCTCCATTATCTGCCTATCTATGTCTCTCTCTCTCTCTCTGTCTGTTGTAATGGAATGTTCCACTCTCCCTATTACCTATTGTGGACTGACTATATCAGTAATATATGTAGTATGCACAGGACATACCAGAGTCTGTCTGTCTGACTACCTTCAGAAAGTGTTAGTCCGTCTTTCAGTAGTGTATTCACTTTTACAAGTAAACCTCTCTTTCTTCCATCTACACCCGTGTTGCTGTTCCTTCCATTCGAGTACCACCTTTTTCTGTAACAATTTTAAGGATACAACACTATCTGTCTGAGTCTGTCCATTATCTGTCTGAGTCTGTCCATTATCTGTCTGAGTCTGTCCATTATCTGTCTGAGTCTGTCCATTATCTGTCTGAGTCTGTCCATTATCTGTCTGAGTCTGTCCATTATCTGTCTGAGTCTGTCCATTATCTGTCTGAGTCTGTCCATTATCTGTCTGAGTCTGTCCATTATCTGTCTGAGTCTGTCCATTATCTGTCTGAGTCTGTCCATTATCTGTCTGAGTCTGTCCATTATCTGTCTGAGTCTGTCCATTATCTGTCTGAGTCTGTCCATTATCTGTCTGAGTCTGTCCATTATCTGTCTGAGTCTGTCCATTATCTGTCTGAGTCTGTCCATTATCTGTCTGAGTCTGTCCATTATCTGTCTGAGTCTGTCCATTATCTGTCTGAGTCTGTCCATTATCTGTCTGAGTCTGTCCATTATCTGTCTGAGTCTGTCCATTATCTGTCTGAGTCTGTCCATTATCTGTCTGAGTCTGTCCATTATCTGTCTGAGTCTGTCCATTATCTGTCTGAGTCTGTCCATTATCTGTCTGTCCCATTATCTGTCTGAGTCTGTCCATTATCTGTCTGAGTCTGTCCATTATCTGTCTGAGTCTGTCCATTATCTGTCTGAGTCTGTCCATTATCTGTCTGAGTCTGTCCATTATCTGTCTGAGTCTGTCTCTCTCTCTATCTGTTGTAATAGGATGTTCCACTCTCCCCTATTACCTATTATGGACTTAACTATATCAGTAATATATGTAGTATGCACAGGACATGCTATAGTCTGTCTGTCTGACTGACTACCTTCAGAAAGTTTTAGTTGACTCCCTGTCTTTCAGTAGCGTATTCTTTTTTGCAATAAACCTCTCTTTCTTCCATCTACGCCCGTGTTGCTGTTCCTTCCACTTGAATACCACCTTAGTCTGTTTGTAACCTTTTTAAGGATACAACAGTTACATTATAATTTGTGTCCATGAGTGGTGTGTGCAGTGTCTTGAAAGTGACCCAGAGGTTAAAACTATTTTTTGGTTGCATAATTTGTCAAGTTCAAATGCCTTAGGTGACGTAGATCATTGTGGCATTCTGCAGATAAACTTTCATTCCTGAACAAGTGGTCGGGTTAAAATGCTTCAAACAAGACATTTTCTTCCATGATTAGTCCTGGGTATGATGATAAACTACATCCGGCAGTGAGGTCTCTGATTGGGAGGTTTTGTTGTTCCCAGGTTCACCCTGATCCTGGGTGGTAGAACTTGTTAGAATCCCAGCTATGGTCAAATAGTGAACCTCAAACAAAAAGAAAACTATGACAGTATAAAAATACATTAGTACATAGTAAAAATACCAACAATACATTTTTATATAAAAATTGATCGACAATATATTTTATAACAAAATGACCAACACTAAATTTTATTTAGTAGTAGTTGAAGCCATAAAATTGTGTTCAAAATATTTACATTTCGACATTAAATAACTCATAGAGGTGTTGATATGCTACTCAGCAAAATCAACCAACATGAAAGATCTCTTTCATGATATTAATCCATATAATATCCGACAGTTTCTTAAAAGAAAAATCAAACTGTATCCAAAATATAACGTCAGCAAAACTACAACTGTGTTCAATTTTTGAAATGTCACCTTAGTTTAAGGATGTAGTAGATATTGAAAGTGAAATCTGTATGCTTAGGCTAGATTAGCTAATCCCTGTTGTAGACGCCTGCTCAGGCACATTTGTGTTCAACACCCACAGAGCCCACCAGTTTTATACTATAACTATATTGAGCAGTAGATTGTTTATGGAGACAGCATATCTCATTGTTTTGGTGACGAACAGTTTGAAGAAGGTCTGTATAACTTGTTGACTTTGTGCTAGCATATAATCATTGATAAATAATTTTGTCTTCTCACATTCACTTGAAAGTCTTGACTGAACCCATGGTTTGGCTTTCAGGTACGTTCTAATTGAAAGAAGTTACCTTCCTGACCGGTTGACCATGTGGTGTAATTTGAAAGCAAATGTTCTAAACACTTAGCTATCTACCCCTAGGGAATAGTTTGATATTTGGTTATATCATCTGGAAATGTATGGATCTTTCATTTATGTGAATATTTGTAATGTAAAGAAGTGCGTTTGGTGGTTATTTTTTGTGTTGAGTATTAATATTCCTTCTTGGAATTTTCTCTCTAATTAGTTATGTTCATTTTTGGCCTCACGTTCTTTGTTTCTTTTACCGGCTTTCTTCATTTTTTTTTTTTTTTTTTTTTTTTTCCTGGCTTTTTCCGTTTGGCTTTCTCCCCGGCTTTTTCCGTTTGGCTTTCTCCCCGGCTTTTTCCGTTCTCTCTGATGGCATAACCTGTGTGGTTTTGATGATTTTATTTTCTTATATGATCACCATAATATTAATTTATATTCAGAAAGGAAATAAAAACTTTTCCATTTTTGTGATATGTGATTGATTTAGAATAGTGATGTTGAAGTGATCTGAAATGCCTTCCCACCACTTGAATTTCACAAAAAAGACATCTGTATTTGCAGATATGATCTTCTCCAGATAACGGCTGCAGCTGATAACAATTCCTTTATTGTCAAGACGACTGATGTTGGGCAGACAATCTTACAGGTAAGCCCGAGAAAATAGATTGAAATATCCTTTTTCTCTCTCTCATATATATATATATATATATATATATATATATACACACACACACACACACACAAGGTTGAGGCTGTAGTAATTTGTTGTGTTAATGTTGTGAGTCCACAAGACCCACAGGTGGTGATTTGGCAGGTCCCCTGTGAAAAACAATGGGTCCCAACAAAGGTTTCTTAAAATTGTTGTTAAACTGCAGGACTACAGACAGTATTTCTTTATATTTTTTTTTTTTTAACTAGCATCCGAACCAACAAAAAAACAATTCTAATCATGTCAAATCACTTGCTAGAACAACTTTTTCTTTTTTAACTTAATGAATTCAAATCAAAAATGCTTAATCATAGTTCAATTAAAAAACAATATTTTTTTGAGAATTATTACTAAACAGAATTTTTAAATTAAGAGAAGTTTTTTTTTTTATTTTATCTTTTCTTGAATCAATAAATTTAAAACAAAAGCAGTATTTAAAGCCAAGACCAGCAAACTTCAAATTCTGGAATGTCAGAAAGTTTCTGGGATTTTGTGTCCTAGTTAAGACGATAAACTACATTCAACAGCAAGGCCTTTGATCAGAAAGTTTTGAGAAGCTTGGAACCACTTCTTAATTGCTGGTGTGCCCAGGTTCACGCTGACCTGGGGTGGTAGCATCTGTCAGGGTCCCAGCTATGGGCAAATAGTTACTCCCCCACGCACACAAAAGGACTGAAAACACTATGGAAATAGGTTTTAATATTAGCAATACTTTTTTTGAAAAATTTTTAGCACTTTTGAAAAAAAAAAAAAAAAGATTTTCAGCAATAAAAATCTTGTCATTAAATAACCCATTGAGGTGTTGATATGCCATAAGACAAAATAAACCCAAACCCTGATCTACAAATTGATTTCTTAGAAAGAATACATATTCTGTTCATACAAACCTATCTTACAAATCTTGTCAGCATTAAATAACCCATTGAGGTGTTGATATGCCGTAAAACAAAATAAACCGAAACACTGATCTACAAACTGATTTTTTACAAAGAATACATTTTCTATTCATACAAAACTATCCTAAAAATCTTATTGGCATTAAATAACCCATTGAGGTGTTGATATGCCGTAAACCAAACCAAACTGATGTCTATTTCATCTGACTGCCCAATGAGACAAAAAGCAGATGCAAAGAAGCACTAATAAAAAGTATTTGAAAGAATATGCGCAATGTATCACTTTCCATGGGAAACTTTAGTTGCATCCATGGGATGCACAGATGAGAATGTTTTGTGTGTCCCAAGTATGCCGATTTTTTTTTTTTTTTTTTTTTTTTTTTTAAACTATTGTGAGTTCAATCCCTGCGCTCGGCTGTCTGTACCTTGGACTCAGCGAATACTGGATAATTTTCTCACAATTAAAGAGTAGACTTTAAGCAACAGAGATATTGTTTTACAAAAGAATACCATGGATGGAGCATATGAGTAAACATGAATGTTTTAGCGGAAATGGACACGTAGAAGAAATTTCTCCGCCCAGTGAAGGAGGAGGGCTTAAAGAAATAAGTACTCACAGGGAGATACTGAAAGCCGGAGAGGCAACAGTGAGTAACCTACTGAACAAGGTCGTGTAAATGGATAGAAGAGCAGGGACTGGGAGGGATAGTAAGGGTAAAAATGTTGCTTATAGCTACAAAGAATAAGAAGTTGTGGAGGGCCATTATCGAACACACTATTTTTAATTATGTAATTTTTTTTTTTTTTCTTTTTAAGGTGTGGAATGCTGATAATCTGAAGATGAGTGACTACATCAACATTGTTGTCAAGAAGATAATCCACCCAGAAATTGGAAAAGTAAAACTGGGACAGACATTTTGTTTCCATGTCCCTATTGTTTCTGATAAAGGTTGGTATTAATTACTTTGTGGATGATCCCATAAATAAGCATTTTTTTTTTTTTTTTTTTATGTTTTATCATTTCACCCCAAACAATGCAGTAAAGTCACTAAGACACAAAGGGTTACTGACTGTGAGAGAATATGAGAAAAAGAAAACTATTGTTAGTCAGAGAAGTTGCAAGGAATCACTCTCCAGGAGGTTAGCATCAGATATGCTGATGGAGGATGAGAAAGGTTTTATCAGGCGTTTTGAAGGCGTTAAAATTAACAAACCATTTCTTGCCCCAGTTAACAACAGATAGTATGTCATTTTTGAGATTAGCTGCCAATTTGACCTTATCAAACTGATCAGATTCCTCATTAAGACAGGAGTAAATCTTTCTATTTTTTCCCCATTTTTTGTTTTCCTTTCTTTTTGTTCCCCCTTTCTTTTTGTCCCCCCCTCTGCCCCCCGTTGTTGTTGTTTTTTCCCCTTTTTTTAAGGAACAAAAAAAAAATTAAAAAATAAAACAAAATAGCTTACCCAGATTTAGAGAAAAACAATATTAGATGTTGACAACAATTTTCAAACAAATGTGTAGTTTGGGGGTGGGGGAATGTAAGCGATTAAAATAATTCAAAATACTCTTCCTTTGATTTTCTAAAAGTGGTTTTAGTAATGTTAGATTTTTTCCTAAACATAACAGCTGATATCCTGATAATCATTTTTCATATATTCTCAGTTGATTATCCAGTATTGCATACAAAATCTCTTAATTTTATCAGCAAAATATATTAGCTTCGTGCTTTAGTCTTTGAGATCCTTGATCAAATCAAAAGCTGTAGAAAATTTTTATTATTATATTTCAGGTAATCGTGGAAGTTGGAGCAGTGCAACATTGGCAATAAATATCAACAGTAAGACTGGCATTGCAACAGCTATGGGCATTGGAAAAACTCACATCAATTATAATATATCAACTGACATGAATACAATGACTGAGGTAATTTAAATTGTATAAATTCTCAAATCAGAATAGCAATAAAATACGAAATGAATTCATCAGAAAAAAAAAACATTTATTCCCATGGAAGGGAAATCTACTTTCTGTTTTAGCTGTGCTTCTCTGGGGTGGGGAATTCTGGGGAAAAAAAAAGAAATGAAAAGCAGTGGTAGTTGCAATTAATTCTAAGCAAACAAAACATTATTTCTTCTTCAGGTTCAAGTGGAAGCCATCAGCAAATTGATTGTAGAGAACACCACGGAATTTGTATCAAACGTGCCCAACAGAAACAAAGAATATCTTTTTCCAGTTCGAATAGAAGATGGAGATTCTTTTATTGGTTGGTGATTATTTCATCTCATATTTTGCAATACACCCAACCTTTCTAATTTGGCGTACTGCAGTTGGCCAATTCTCACAGCCTAGAACATTTTAAATACTCCTCCTCTTTCTTTCTCTTTCTTTCTCTTCTTCCTCTTTCTCTTTCTTCCTCTTTCTCTTTCTTCCTCTTCCTCTTTCTCTTTCTTCCTCTTCCTCTTTCTCTTTCTTCCTCTTTCTCTTCTTCCTCTTTCTCTTTCTTCCTCTTTCTCTTTCTTCCTCTTTCTCTTTCTTCTGCCCCATACTCAGTCAACTAAGGCTTCAGAATACACCAACCTTACTTCGGAGGATCCCTCTACCCCCTAATGAGGTGACCCGTGATACTTGGGATGTGATTAAAGGCTTCAAGAATCTGGATGGTTTAACTCCTGAATCCCAACACATCACATCACATTGGTTATTACCTGAGCTAGACGGGTGGTTAGTCAGAGAGACCTGATCCGATCACCTGGCCAGTCATGCCAAGTCCTGATTCAGATTCTTACAAACTCTAGAAAAAGCTGAACAAGAAGGCAGTAGCTTTAGAGTCAATCATGCTAAGAAGGGACGATTGTATCAAACTAGGCCTGAACAAGAAGTTAACTTGGGAACTTACCTTGTCATGGTGATCAGCCAATCCGCCTCCTCTCTCTTCTCTCTTCTCCTGTCCTATAACGCCATTCTTTTCAGTTCCCTTAGGTTCATGCCTGCCATTCCCAATGCAGATTCTTAAAGTAAACTTGCATGTTGTTCTCTTTTCAAAATAAGACATTGATAACTATTCTATTTTTTTAATAATAGATGACAGTTGTTCAGCATTGACTATGGCTCCAGATATTTTGGCTCCATTTAACTGTTTCCTTGAGATGTCCAGCCGTTTGCAAGATATTGGTGTTGAAGATCTATTCACAGTATCTACGGTCTATGATCCCACTTCAGGTAAGACGCTGATTGCAGAGTCATTCTTTTGCCAGAAGCTTTATATATATATATATAGCTGCTTACTTCCCAGGTAACTTTGATCTTCAAAAATTTTCTTTTGTCTTAATTCTTCTTTTATTCTCTCTCCTTAATAGTAGTTTTTCTCATGGTCTCTAACACTTAGTAACCTCTTGCCTTGCTTGGGGGTGAAATGATAAAAAAAATTATGTATATTTACACAACATCCCATATCAATAGCATGACTTGGGAGTTTCATGCAAGCATGCAATCTTAAGGTGTAAAATAGTTAGTGCTCGTTAAAGCATTAAGAAATTTGTGTTTTCACTAATATATACTTAATAGCACTGTTTTTATAACTCCCGAGAAAAAATATATACGTACGTGAAAGCATGTGTACATAGATACATTTTTCTTTTTATCATACCCATATATCTCTTATATATATATATATATATATATATATATATATATATACACACACACACACACAAGCGAAACAAGAAAATAAAATTTAAAAATATAATGGCCATATGACTTGCCTACCAAAAAATTGGAGGTGGGGAAATTTCAATGAAATTACATAGACCAACAGAGGCTGCAGAAATTTTTATTGCCTGAAATCCTAAAAAAAACAAACCAATGTGGATCGAAATCTGAAAGAATGATAAGATAAATTCTTGTAAGTTTTTTTTTTTTTTTTTTTTTTTTTTCATTTGTTTACAGATGTTTAATGAGTGTCCAGATAATTAGAAAATACAGTGTTTGGGGTTTTCTTACCTTAATGTTTGTTCAGTGTTAGAAGATGTTACTATTATGGCCTGAAAAAGGAAAGGGAGCTGAAATTTTTGTTGATGCACGTATTGATGACCTGTTCATGTTGACTGCCATTTGTGTGTGTGTGTGTGTGTAGATGAGAAAAGTAAGGTTGATTATCATTGGTTTAGAAAGAGTGAATTAATGCTAATCTCACATTCACTTCTGTGTATGCTTAAGCAGCAATCCTTTGTTTATGCATGTTTCATTAAAAACGACAGACAAGGTACTACGGTTAAGCTTTTTATTTCATTTTTCTTGTTTTCATACAAGAGCTTTCTTTTCAGGACAAAGAGTGTGTAAAAACTGTCCAAATGTTTTATATTTCCGAGTGCTTCCGGCTATACCTTTAGTCATTATCAAGGTTGATTCAATTTTTCAGCTTAATTGAGCGTGTGCATTATGTGTATGTCTTAGTGTGTGGCAGGGATGTTTTTAATTTCCGAATACGGAAATACATTGTGGCTTTGTTCGTAGTTAATATTGTTAAGAGTTGGCTTTTTCTTTTTTATTATTAAAGCTTCCATTATTTTTTAGTCGTTTTTTGCAGGTGGATGCAGTTAATATATTTGTGTTTTCTACTAGTATGTTTCTAATGGCGTCTGGTAAATTTGTGTGCGTGTTTAAATGAGTTCTAATGGAGCTGTGATCAGAGAAGTGTAACGTAAGATGTCTGGATAAGCATGTGGTTGTGTAACCGATGTAATTATTTATGAAGAACATATACATAATGCCTACACTCAATTAAACTGAAAAATCGAATCATCCTTGATAATGGCTAAAGGTATAGCCAAAAGCACTTGGAACTATAAAACATTTGGACAGTTTTTACACACTCTTTGTCCAGAAAAGAAAAATTAAATAAAAAGCTTAACCGTAGTACCTTGTCTGTTGTTTTTAATGAAACGTATATATATATATATATATATAGTGTCAGTGTATTTCTCTTCTAACAGGAATCTTTGTATTTTATTGTGGTAGGAGTAAAAGTGTATGAGATTCTTATTTGATATTTTTTCAGTACTACTTTCATAGTATATCTATATATATATGTGTGTGTGTATTGACATATCAAGATATTTATATACTTGTATGTCCTGTTTTTTAAAGAACACATTTTTCTTTCAACTTATTGTTTTTAAATGTCCATTTTAATAATTTCTGTACAGTGTAAGGTTTTTTAGTGGAATGTATCTTTTGAGAAAGGACAAATTTATATTGATCTTTAAATTTGCTGAGAATCAAATAAAGTAGCAGTCTTAACTTGTTGATTGGAGGATTGTAATAAGGAATGTGACTGGGATAATGTTGAAGAAATACATCGGCAGTACTGATCACAAACGTACAATAAAATTCATAAAGAGAAATATGCGTAAGTGCACAGGCCAGGAGATGCATAAGCACACTAAGGCATATATATATATACGCAAACACACACCCTAGATAAATACACACTATTTTTTTAAAAAAATGAACATATCAGACTTTGTCTTCACTCTTTTTTTTTTTTTTTACATGTCTGGAGAATTTTTTTTGAAATGTTTATTTTTACAGAATTATTAATATTAAAACACCAAAATGTGTTTTTTTTTTTTTTTTTTTTAATTTCGTGCACAGAGATGTTAAAAATTATATATTTTAGTTAGGGTGAAGGAATCGTTTTACCATCTAAGTCATACCAATAGTATATTTTGTTAAAGATTGTAATGAGCCCAACAAACATTGATGACCTAGAGTTGGGATATATATATATATAATGGCCAGCAACCTTTCTTTTATACATGTTTCATTGAGTGTGACAGACAAGAAAAATTAAATTTTTTATTTAATTTTTCCTGCATTCTTAGATGTTTGTGGGAGTAAAGGAGTGCAAAAATCGTCCATTGTCCTGAGTGATTTCAGCCATTTTCAAGGAGATTTATTTTCAGGTGTTGAAATTAACCCCTAAAAACAAATCCCCTTGAAAAGGGCTAAGGAGCAAGTCTTAATAAAGAAAAGGTCTTGCAACAGGAATTGAACCCGTATTCTCTTAATCTGGGAAATTTCTTACCTTATGATAATGGTTATGCCGGTCAAGGAAATATTGCTTTTGAATGATTTTCTTGAATATTTTAGCCTTGTGCCAGTCTTACTTTACCACAATGGTTAAGCCAGTCACAGATGATGTTGCTTTTTAATTACTTATTCAATTATTTTAGCCTTGTGCCAGACTAGTTTTTTGAGAATAGTTAAGCCACTCGCAGGAGACATTATTTTTGAGTTCTCCTCATGTATTTTAGCTTTAGACTAAGTACAAATAATCTCTATTTTAATCTCTGTTATAATCTCTAATTTGATCTCTATTATAAAAATTAAGACAGGTTTTCAGCTCGTTTTTTAATATTTTTAATTTATATTATCTTTTAATGATTTTATGTTTTTTCTTCTATCCCTGCAGGTAATCTTGCCTGTAAATTGGCTCAAAAAGAGAGCAAAATCCTTGGCTTGGTGGGTAGCACGCTTGTGACTGACATTATCCTTCACGTAACCATTCCCGCCCTGGACAACCAACTAGCAGTCTCTGCTCCTCCTCTTTCCTTGCCTTTCTATCCAGCCTTTCATGTACATTCATCAGAGATTTACCTGTCAACTCTATCACCACAATCCAGCCTACGACTGTCAACAGTTCCTTTGCTTTTCTCCCATATCCAGGTAAGTAACTTGATCTGGAAAAAAAAAAAGAAAGAAAATTGTACCCGAAAAATATAGTTTCCACCTTTTCCTTCATCCTAATCTTTTTGAGCAGGTATTGATTTCACAAAAAATCTGTACAGGTCAAATGTTTATTTTTTTCCAGCAACCATTGTAGTCCTTCACCACTTTTAATTTAGGCAACATTACAAACACACTGTGGATTTGGGAGACTGCAAAATTTAGTTAATTTGTGCAAAACGCACTGCAATCAGAAATAAATGACTTTTTTAAAATTCATTATTAAGCATTCCAGATCACACACATATATATATATATATATATATATATATATATATATATATATATATATATATATATATATATATACTAGCAGCATGGCCTGGTGTTGCCCGTGTTTGATTCAAAAAATCGATAGACTCATACAGCAATTGCTATCACTTGAAATATTCTTGCTCTTTCTTGCCTTTAAATGAGTGCCCTATACTAAACATTAAATCTGTTACGAAAAAAGAACTAAACAAAATAAACACAAAACGATCAGCTTTAAAAAAGGACTCTTAACTGGAAAAACTGAATGAAAAAAGAATGTTAACAACAAATACTTTTTCAAACTCAACCCAGTTCTGCGGAATCAGAATCAACGTTGAGTTTAAGCAAGCGAATGAACCAATTGGAGTAAAGTGCCATGCAGATTTAAATTTTTCCCACTTGTGACGAATGCAGCTATCAATTTTTTTTTTGCATGCTAGTTAACATTCGTGTCAGTCAGCTGTTGGCTCTCACACTAGCCAATAGAATCTTCCTGCCTATTCGTGGCAGCCAGCTATAGGCTCTCACTCTGGCCAGTAGAAAATGGCTGCAAACTACATGAAAACTGCCGTAGAAGCATGAAAAAAATTGATTATTTCCACTATCGATGGGAGTTGGGAAATGCGATGTCGGTCTTGGCCTTCCTGCTAACTTGGAGCATGTGCACGTAAATTTTGGTGCAAATCCACGGAAAATTGCAGCTGTGCATTCGTTACACACACACATACATCTTGGCTTTTATAGATAGAGATATTGGGTTGGTGCATAATTATCAGGAGTTTTTTTAATAAAAATATTATTTTATTTTCAGGTTATAAAAATGCGTGTCGATAATCATACCCTCCGGAATCATTTAAAAATGTTATTGTTGAAATGTTACATTTCTTTTTTCATAATAAATATTGTTTAAAAATGCCTGATAATTATTCACCAACACAATACACACACACACACACACACACACACACACACACACACATTTTAAATAAAAATTTGGCAATCTTGAACCTTTTGTGCCTGCAAAAAAAAAAGGGTGGGGTGTCAAAAGGATGATTTTTCCCCTGACACTGCTATTATTTTTAACTACTATTGTGTTGCTAGGTGTACGTTTATTTCTGTCTACTAAGAATGGACACACAATTCGAATCCTTATACACTTTATTTCGTACTTGATAACAATAGATGTAAAACATGACTGGAGGTTGAAGTTTGACACATGACGTGAAGATGTGTTGACGATCATCTTGAAAATCTTTTCTTTGTCATAAAGTTCTGATCAAGGGGCATAACTTGCTTTCCATTTAGGGCGCGAGTTAGCTCCCTTGTTATGATGTCCGGCCCAACAACCACCGTCACTCGTTAACAACGTTTGTTTTTTTTTAGTTTTTTTTTTTTTTTTTTTTTTTTTTTTTTTTTTTTTTTTTTTTAGTTTTTTGTTTTTTTTTAGTTTTTTTTTTAGTCTTTATTTGTTTTTTTTTAGTTTTTTTTTTTTTTGTGTTGTTTTAGTTTTTTGTGTTTTGTTTTCTTCGTTTTTTTTAAAATTCTTTTTTCAAATTATAGATTAAGCATTCTAGATCACAAATATATATTTAAAAAAAATAAAATGGAGTGTCAAAAGGATAGTTTTCTCTTGATACCACTATTATTTTAACTACTTTCACCCCCCCCCTCCCACAATATTTGTTTTAAAAAGCAATGATTAGAATTTTAATAAATCCAAAACACATGAAAGGGAATCTATACATTTACTTTGTTCTTGAATTTACAACAAAAATAATAATCTCTGCTGAATTGTAGGTTTTTGCTTCCAGGCCAACTTTGCATCTAAATTTTTAAAGGTCAATGTCAATCGTTATCTTCTGTCTTAATTCCTATTCTTTTATTGTTCTTTTTTTTCTCTCTTTAATAATGTTTTCTTGGCAAACATGAATAAACATGTCCTCAATAAGATGGCGTGCCAAAAGGAAGTTTTTTTCCTATGATACTGCCTTCATTTTAACTACCTTCACTATTCGGCAATTTTTATTGTTTTAAAAAGCGATAATAATAGAATTGTAATAATACCTAAGTATATGAAAATGAATTTATACATTTTCTTTGTTCTTGAGAATTGACAACAAAAATAATAAACACTATATATTATTTATTGGAATCAATTCAGACTTTATGAAATGGTAAATAATAAGGATTTCCTTAGAGTTGATTTACATATTTTCATAATTTTTTTAGTAAATGTATAAATTTTTGAAAAAAAATTTTCACTTTTTTTTTAAAATTTATTTCTTCTTAATTGTATATTGCATTAGTTTTAGTGTTGTAAATATAAAATTATTTAATATTTTTGCTGATAATTCTCAAGAAGAAAACAGATGTATAAATTGACTTTCATGTGTTTAGGTTTTATGAGGATGCTTCAACAATCAATACAATCTTAACCCGTTCAAGTCGAGGTTAACTGTTACCTTTCCCACATATCCTCATGAACTGTGCTTCTTGCCCATTACTCTGTAACTCTACTTCGAATGGCTCTTGAGCCTTGTAGAGGATAAAAAAATCAGTTTGTAACCATACATCCTGTTGATTTTTCCCCATCTTATAATCAGGACAGAATGCATGCTGGGATATTTTTCTTAGCCAATAAAATGGGACGGCTTGCATTTTGACATGACTCTGTCCAGATCTGCCTTAACTACTAGAGAGACATATTGTGTCCACTTGGTTGATCTTGCTTTTGTGTATACACAACAACTCCTAGTCTATGAATTCTTTAGCCTTCTTATCAATTTGATTTGCTTGTTTGCGTGATTGTTGCGGTTTCATCTTTTTTTACCATTTCTCTTTTCATTGCAAACTTTATTAATTCTGATCGTGTTATTTATCTTTCAATTTAACAGTCGTTTCTTGCTCATCATATCTTCCTGTTTGAGATGAAGAAATTGTTCCTTTTAATTTTATAATAACCATTCAGTATTTTCTACACCTCCCGCAGATCGGTGGACGAGCAGGGGTGACCAAGGGATTGGTAAATTATGAAAGTCTTATAAAAAGTTTTCTTAATTACTGTTCCATGAAAATTTAGCAAACCTAGTGGCAATAACAACATTTGAATTTTTTTTTTTTTTCTCTCCCCCATCACAGGTGACATCAAGTGACCCCACCCTAATCGAGATTCTTCCCCCTGAGAGTGACATGAGCACCTCCTCGGCTATGGTTTATCCAGTCCGTCTTCGGGAAGTGGGTGTGGTCTGGGAGCAACTGCGCAGTGATCTCTCGCTGGACTTTTCCTGTCAACTGACTGGACAGAGGGTCCGTGTCCCCATTTATATCAAGCTGGTTGAACGCAAGGAGATTTTACCAGGTAAGTTTGATTTAGCTATACCCGACCATCTTGGGATTTCCTTGTCCCCTGAAGCTGCCCTCTGCTCTGTTAGAGGGGGCATTAGTGTAAGCTAGCCATGGGGAAGTTATTAGGTAACTGAACATTCCCAGTGTCAATTTTTTACAATGTATAGGTGGGTGGATATTAGCATTTTTAAAGTTAACGCTTATGTGTGCTGTTGGTCAGCTATAGCTTGTTGGCAAATCATACTTATTATAAAACCCAGGTTGTGTGTGTGTGTGTCTGTTCGTTTATATATTGGATCAGATTTCCTACATTTTTCAACCGATTTCAACAAAACTTCACAGGACTACGTAAAATTACCTTGCAGTGGTTCTAACAGCACCAAAAATTGGAAAAACACAATTGTTTTTGCATGAAATCAATTTGAAAACACGATTAAGAGGCATCGCTGTCGTGAGAATGAAAGGGGGACAACTCATATCGAGTTGTACTTATTATAAAACCCAGGTTGTTTGTGAGTGTGTGTATGTGTTCGTTTATATATGGGATCGGATTTCCTACATTTTTCAACCAATTTCAACAAAACTTCACTTATTTTTGGCAGGTAGTGTTTCTTATTGTCTTGCACACTTTTTTCTTTATTTTTACATTCAGAATGCTTTAAAAATTCCATTTACAAGACAATTGTTTATAATAAAATTCTATTCAATCGGTAGACTCATAACGATTGAAAACAATGTTTTTGTTTGAGTTTGGGTTTGACCAATTCGTAAAAAAAAAAGAAAAAACTAATTAAGACATGTGTGTCCGTCAACCTTAAACAATAATCTTTGTCAATTTTATTTTTCAGTCTTTATGATGGTCGATAATTGATCTATCTCTTACTGTTACATCCCCGGGGACCGCCGGGATCTACTGCTAGTCTTGAATAAAATTCAGAAGTTATGAAAATGAGTTGAAGATGAAATTAAGCATAATGTAATTTATTAATGCTTTCACTATTGTGTTGTTATAGCATTGTTGTATGGCTGTGCTGACCCTTTTTTTTTTTTTTTAAACTGGAAAATATCATTTACTGGAGAAAAAAAAACAAAAAAAAGTAGAGCTCAACCCTGTCCTGAGCTTTCCGTTGACTTTCCATGTTGCATTTGATTCTGAATCTTGTCAGTGTGTGTCAAAACCTGGAAAAGGGGCTATGGCATGCTTACAAGTTAAACCTGTCTTGTATATGTAGAAGTTTTATTCAGCACTTTGGCTGGCTGGCTCTGATACTTGGAACAACTTCTGCACCCCCCCCCCAAAATTCCTCGTTTATCTACTCATCCTGATAAAGGTGGCTGGCAATATGAATAGCGGCTTTGGAACAGCTTGACACATGTGTCCGTCCCCTGCCAAGGGTGGACCAGAACTTTCCTCTACTCCAAGTGTAGCTTTTAATATAGATCAGCACCTGGATATACCCTATTTTCGATTTTGTTGCCACTTTTAATGGTAATATTAACCCTTTCCTTATAAGGAAACATTTGGCCTTCATTGACCAAGCAGCAGGTGCTATTTGAGTTATGATTTCCTTCACTCGCTGGTCATTGAGCTGGCATCAAAGCATTGTATCTGTTCTCCTTAATATTAACCCTTTCCTTATAAGGAAACATTTGGCATTCATTGGCTGAGCAGCTTGTACTTATGTTGGTTGAAATTTATAAATCTTTCTATTAAAAGAATCTTAGAGGAAAACCAGTTTTTCAAGTCCAGTAACTGTTATTGCTCTTTCCAGTATTGATGGTGGTTTCCTTGCTAATCTTTTGTTTGAAGTCGTGTGGAACATCAACATCTGGATTATGTCATAACACATCATTTCATTGTGTTATCCATTTTAGTTGTTGAAAGTTCTCAAGCGATGTGGTTTCTGTTATTTGGTACAGTTCTTTGTGATTCTGTTGTGCTAATACACAATGTTTAAAAAAGAATGGTTTTCACTAAGTCTCATAGGCTTAATTCACTGGAAGCCATTTTTAACCTCATTTATCTGAGAAAGGGGTTGTTACCGAAGTTATCTCCCTTGATATTGATCATCTGGAAAGATGAAAAATAAACACAAATTAATTTGGAGGAGTGGAGTGATGGTTATTAGCTTGGACCGAGGAATTAGAGAGCTGAGATTGTCGGCTCGGATTGAGGAATCGGAGAGCCGAGATTGTCGGCTCGGATTGAGGAATCGGGGAGCTGAGATTGTCGGCTCGTATTGAGGAATCGGGGAGCTGAGATTGTCGGCTCGTATTGAGGAATCGGGGAGCTGAGATTGTCGGCCCGGATTGAGGAATCGGAGAGCTGAGATTGTCGGCTTGGATTGAGGAATCGGGGAGTCAAGTTTGAATTCCGGTCAAGTTCGTTACATTCACTTACTTGCTAATATCCTTGGGAAAGGCATGCATCCAACTCTCCCCAGCTATAGCTTAAATAGCAAGTCAGATTGGGACCTATAAGTGTTGGGCTTTAATATCAAAATTATGAACCAATAAAACACCTAAACAATATCTTTATGATTCTGAAAAAGAAATGAGTATAGACTTCTTAAGATTCCTAGCACCTAGGACTCGCATACCTAGATGAAACTCCTTAAGTAAAAATTTCCCTTAATTGAAAAAGTGCTATCTAGTAGGATTAACCCCAAAACATTAAAGAAATTGAGAAACACCAATTTGCTAGTAGAAGAAAAAAAAACCTTTCCCCCATGAAAGACTAAACATTTCTAAGGGAGTCATTAGATGCAGAGAGTTATATCTGGCCACACCTGAAGAAATCACGTCTGCTGGTTGGGGGTCAGTGATCTTAGAATCACAATAAAAAGAAACGGACAAACCATAACAGCACACACACACAAACAAATATTTTCTCAGACATTCTGGTCGGTAAATGTTGTTTAATACTGTTTATTATAAACAGAGCATTTACTTAAATATTTGTATCTATAAAAAGAATGTATAAACATAAAAATGTCTTAAAAATAATTGTTGCACTTTGTCCATTTCATAATGTGTGGCGTCATTCGTTTACATTTGATACGCCATGAGCAGATATGAATGTACGTGAGAGATTCATGGAAGATTGTAGTTTAAATACAGTAAATTTGACCTTGCTAACCAGACGCTCCTTCGTGGCCAAATTGGTAAAGGATACAGGTTCGAATCCTGGCAGAGGATGAATATTTCCTGTGAAATTTTCTCGTACATTCCAGCCAGTAAATGTTGTTTAATACTGTTTATTATAAACAGAGTATTTACTTGAATATTTGTATCTATAAAAAGAATGTATAAACATAAAATGTCTTAAAATATATATATATATATATATATATATATATATATATATACACACCTTTGCCACAATTCAAATCCCTAGAAAGATAAGAGTCTGGTACAATATACAGTATGTACTCGTGGATAGGTCACACATTTCTATTAAAATTTCACAATATTTAGGGTGCGACCTCTCCATTCAACATAAATGTGAAACAAATCTACCGTGTCATTATGATTTCTGAGAAATTGAAAATGAGACCCATATCCACTAAAGCTGTGGATTCAGTTCTGAATGATTTTAAAACTGTAACTTGATATATAAATAGGTAAATACTTTCTTCTAAGTGTACCGTAACATTTTTTTTCTGTACTTATTTTATTTTCTCCATTTGACTTGATATAAAAATAACATGCAGTAAATATAAAAATACCAGTACAATAGTTCCTTTTGTTTATATGATGATTGATGAAATGTGTTTTAATAGCAAAAGTGTATTAATAATTGTAAGTTTTGAAATAAAGGTAGATATCAGATAATTCTTACATTTAAAAAGGGCTGTGTAACTCCCCAGATTATAGTGCGACCTATCTGCAAGTTAACAGTAAATCATCAATTATTAAGCCATAAAGTAAGGGTGTGGCCTATCTGTGAGTATATATGGTAGAGCCAGTGGAATAATATATCCCTGCCCCACTAAGTTGCTTCAAGTGCCAAAGATTTGGGCATCATAGGCATAGCTGCAGGAATCGCCCAACATGTGGAAAATGTGGCCAAAGGGATTGAGGCCATATGGAAGAAGAATGCCACTATGAAGTAAGGTGTGCTAACTGCCCGGAAAACCATCCATCATAATCAATAATCATGTGACTTCTGAAATAGGAGATTGTCAAGGTGAAACACAAACAAAATGTCTCATTCATAGAAGCAAGGCAATTAGTAGAAACCTGACCACAAGTAATACCAGTCAACTGGGTTTGAAAAAAGAAAATTGACTGGACCTTTTTCAGAACTTGAAAAGTCCTGGAATTTTCTAAATCTGGTTGCCCACACATCCTTTTTCTCAATTCATTAAATAAATTGAGAAATGACAATTTGCTAGAAGTGGAAAAAACACACCAAAAGTATATAAAAATTCATGGCCTAAAAATAAAAACCTTCCCCCATGAAAGACTAAACATTTCTAAGAGAGTCATTAGATCCAGGGAGTTATATTTAGCCACACCTGAGGAAATCACATATGCTGGGGTCAGTGAGAGAAACCATAACAACACATATATATTTACTTTGGCACCCCTCAAAACCCCAGAAAGATAAGTCTGGTACAATATTGAGCCAGTTGAATACTATATCCCTGTTCCAGTAAGGTGTTTCAAGTACCAGTCAACCTAACAACAGGGTTTGTTCAGATCCTGGAAACCTTGAAAAGTCCTAGAAAATTGACAGGACCTTTTCCAGAGCTTGAGTAGTTTTTTTTCTTGCTCTTCCCGACAGTGGAACTCCCTTCCTCTTACTTGCTTCCCTGATAACTACAATCTTCAAAAATTTAGATGCAATGTCAATCACTATCTTCTGTTTACTTGATACCTGTTCTTCTTTTATCCTTTTCTCAATCCTCTCTATACCCAGTTTTTTTTACTAAGTTTCACTCTATGTAACCCCCTGCGTGCTAGTGGCACTCCCATCTTGCTTGGGTGAGTGAAGTGCTTAAAAAAAAAAAAAAATGATAATTTTTTTTTTTTTTTTTATTTATACTTCCACCAGAGTTACCGTATTCTTGATGCTTTAAAATTATCACAACACTTTTAAAAAGTTTTTTTTTTTTTTCTTTTCCTATTAACAGATGCGAAAAACAAAGACGCTGCCTTTGCTGATGTAGCTAGTAATCAGCCCTTTTGGTTCATGGTCCTCCTTCTGACTGCTGCTTTCTTTCTTGTTTTGGCTCTTGGTAAGTTTCTTCACCAATCTTGGAGAGGAAAGGTATGTCTAAGTTTATTGTAGAATAAGTTGATTTGTCACTTCCAAAGATTTTGATGGGTTCCATGATTAAGGTTGAACACTTGGCAGCATTTTGAAATTTTTTTTTTTTAATACACCTCTGCCTCCTCCAGGAAACCAGGTATTTATTTACTTTAATACACACCGTTCCACTTAATGGGCTACAGGTAAAAAAAAAAAAAAATCTATAATTAATAACTGGATTTTTAGAAACGTAATTTATGCTGGTTTTTTTTTTTTTTGTTTGTTTTCTTTTTTTTCTTTTTTTTTTTATTTTAAACTTACAATTAATGCCAGTATTTTCTTCAGAAATGTATAATTAGTGCTGGACATGCTTTTCTAGAAATCTGCAATTAATGTATGACACATTTCTCTAGAAATCTGGAATTAATGTCAGTATGCTTTTCTACAAATCTGCAATTAATGTCGGGCATGTTTTTCTGGAAATCTGCAATTGATGCCTCGTGTTTTCCTGGAGGCTTGGGATATTAATGCCAGACATGTTTATTTAGAAACCTGGAATTAATGTTGGACACTTTTTTCTTTTTCTTTTTTTTTTTTCTTCTTTTTCTCTCTCTCTTTTCCTCTTCTTTTTCTCTCTCTCTCTCCTCTTTTTCTCTCTCTTTCTCTCTCTCTCTCCTTTTTCTCTCTCCCTTTCTTTCTCTCTCTCTCTCTTTCTCTCTCTTTCGCTCTCTCCCTTTTTCTCTCTCTCCCTTTTTCTCTCTCTCCCTTTTTCTCTCTCTCCCTTTTTCTCTCTCTCCCTTTTTCTCTCTCTCCCTTTTTCTCTCTCTCCCTTTTTCTCTCTCTCCTTTTCTCTCTCTCTCTTTTCTCTCTCTCTCCTTTTTTCTCTCTCTCCCTTTTTCTCTCTCTCCCTTTTTCTCTCTCTCCCTTTTTCTCTCTCTCTCTTTCTCTCTCGCTCTCTCTTTCTCTCTCGCTCTCTCTTTCTCTCTCGCTCTCTCTTTCTCTCTCGCTCTCTCTTTCTCTCGCTCTCTTTTTCTCTCGCTCTTTCTTTCTCTCTCTAATATTAATGCCAATCTTGTTTTTTTTAGAGGCCTGGAATAGATATTGAATTTTTACTTTTTGTAGTTAATACCTGATTTTGCAGTTGGCATTAATTAATGGGTAAAATCTCTGAACACTTCTAAAAAAAGAAAAAAAAAAGCAAATTATGTTTGATCTTTAGCCAGATGTGCAGGTTCACTTTGTGTATCTTTTAAATTTAGTTTTACTGATGTTCTAATTTTATTGTGAACATATCAGAAAGGGTTTTCATCTTCTTTTGCAGCATACCAAGTGCGTTATGGAGCCCAGCGAATTAATCCCCGTCCAGATGTGTTTTTGGGTGGCCGTTACATGGACAGTGCTTCTCACAGCCCCGTCCCGACCAGAGAGGAAGTACACATGAACCGGTACCCTGAAGAAACACCACAACCTTCCAGCTACTGGGGAACGCCTGTAAAATCACCAAGTAAGATGGAAAAAAAATACTATGAGAGAGATTTTCTGAAAACTGAAGTCACTAATTAAAAAAAAATTTAATATTTGATAGCAGAACCCGATAGTCATGGCATTGCTTACTCCCCATTTCATTAGTCAACATGAAAAAAAACATGTTAGACATATATAATCTCATAAAATAAAAATTAGAAAATATCTAACCAGTTAGTATTATCTTACATATAAAGTAATGTGTATGTATAGGTGTGTGTCCCCAGGCAACTCCTCCACTCCCACTGGTCCTATTTCAATGATTCACAGCTCATTCAAAAGCCCAAGAAATGTTAGGCGCAAGGAAAGATTTTCGTTGAGCTCAGATTCAGGGTTGCCAGATTATGTGAGGTTAAAAATATATATTAATATATTTTATTAGCCATTATCATTGCTTTCATGGTTTAGGAGGAGTAAAAAAAAAACTTTTTTTATTGGGCAGCATTTAAGCTAGTTCCTGTGGAAGACTCTTGGATTTGCCATCAATCACAATAGCTAGTGAGGAGTAGATGTGATAGGTATCAATAAACTAAATAACAACTCAAAATTGATCGCTGCATTTAAGTATTGAATTAATGTTTAAGCTTACCTTTTAAAAGATCAACGATAATTCTTTTGCTGCCACTTAATTTAAAGACGATTTGATGTAGATAGATCCTTATTTTCTGTACAATTATTTTTATTTCATAGGTGACAGAACAGTGGATAATTTATAAGATAGAATTAATATAGTGTAAAGATGGGAAAATAGAAATTAGAATTAGTTATGCATTCAACATTTGAAGAGTTAGAGAAACATAATGGCCAATTAAGTAAAAAAAAATATATTACGGAATTTATGAATAAATGCAAAATTGGAAATCAATTCTCCCAGGAATTCTGAAACTAAAAAGCCCTATTAGTATTTACTGTCCTTTGACAGAGTAGCCCCTGAGCACACCCTGCCCAAAGACACACATAACTGAGAGATAAGTAATGTGTTAGAAATTACTCACAAGAGTAATTTACACATGGTATTTACTCTGTCCCTCCACTTGGACGAGATGTGACACAAGGTCTATTTTTAGGTGAGGACCCGAGCACGTATGCCCGAGGCAGGAACAAAAATTCCCCTCAGTCCCTGCAACCGTTAGTTATGCTGACCTTGGTGCAAGCACTGATCCCTCTCTCCGGTGCAATAGGAGTGCGCGGCCTCGGGCAGCTGTTCCCCAGGGCTGGGCACCTCTTCAGTATTATTTTCCGCCATTGCTCCTCTGTCCTTAGACAGAGAAGCCCCTGAGCACATTCTGTCCAAAGACAGATGCAACTGAGAGATAAGTAGATGTGTACCTACTCAAAAAGAGTAAGTTATCTGTATTATATATTATCTACTTCGAGGCAATATCACGCTTCAGGTTTAACTAATTTGCATATTGATTTTAAAAAAAAGTTTTTCATTAATTAACTGTCCTTCATTACTGTTCTTTTATTCAAAGATTTTGATTTTGATATCAAAAATCGTTCTATTTAGAAATATTGTCTTTATATAGTGCAGAAAAGTGTTTGAAATTTGCATTTTACTTGGTTTTCAACAAGTTAGCATCTATTTGTAAAACTTTCCTTAACTATAACAAGCCAATTTATGAATTGAATATTAATTTAAATTTTTTGTTTCAAAGATTTCAAGTAGTGAATATATCTTACTTTTTGAAGTGATAGCAAAGCCAGTTAGTTCCTTATATGTTTGCCTGTCATTTGGTTCACACACCTTTCGGGATGTTTGAACAGCTGTAGGTTTTTTTAAAAGAAAAATCCCATCTTTAAATATAGGTTTCTTTTTAATTATTTTTTTTAATTTTTTTTTTTTTTTTAAATTTTTTTAATTTTTTTTTTTTTTAAATTTTTTAATTTTTTTTTTTAATTTTTTTATTTTTTTTTTTTTAAATTTTTAAATTTTTTTTTTTTTTTTTTTTTTAATTTTTTTTTTTAATTTTTTTTTTTAACTTTTTTTTTTTAACTTTTTTTAAACTTTTTTTTTTTTTTTTATTTTTTTTTTAATTTTTTTTTTTTTTTTTAATTGTTTTTTTAAATTTTGTTTTAATATAGGAATCAAAAATTACAAAAGGATGATGGATATGTTAATATTTATGCCATGACAAATTTAAAATATTCACAATTTTTTTTTTTTTTTTTTCCTTTCTTTCTCTTCTTCAGGTCCCCACTTTCAGGCTCGTCGAAGGACACCCACATCCAACACCAAACTATGGTCAGTGCGAATTCCGTCGCCGGAAGCTCACAGTACACCTTCACCCCCAGGAGAACCGCCTTTTCGTTTCACGTAGGGAAGCTGTGGTTCCTGTCATTCATTGTAAAGACTTTTCGAGTTGGTTTTTTGTAACCGGCTTGAAGCACTTATCAACTTCATCATTTCATTTCCTCATGAAGTTTTCTGCTTCTTTCATTGTCATTTTTTCGCATAAACACTTTACATTTGTTTTCTTTTTTTTTTTCCTCCTTTTTATATTGAAACCTTGTAAAATCAGGCAGGGGGCGCAAAAAAATCTTTTTAATTTTTTTTTATTTTCTCTGAATAGATCCCTGTTTTTAAATCTTTGACAAAAAACTTTTATACTTGTCTAGTCTCGGCTTCTGATGGTGAAGATCGTGAAATGTGTTAGGTGAAAGTCAACATTCCTACCTTACAGTGACCCTGGGTTGCCTTTAGGAAGCAGTAGTAGCTTTTAGCACACCTATCTGCTTTTTGCATATGCTTTGGTGCATGTGGTGGTGACGAGGGGATCAGAATTTTTTTCAGTATTAAATAAAAACCAAAAAAAAGTTAAGGACATCTTAATAATTGGTGGGGGTGGAGACGATCTTGGAATTTTCTCGACATGCGATAAAAGGTGTGTTCAGAAAATCATTAAAAGGGGTCCAAAATGCAAAATTAATTAAATGCGAGTGGTCTTAGTAAGGATTTTTTTTTTGTTTTGTTCAGATGATCCCCCCCCCCCTTCACACACACACACACACACACACACACACACACTCTTTGCAAATAAAAGAAAACTCCAATCTTCCTCCACCTCTATTTAGACACCTAAGAGAAATAACAACTGAAATTTAAAACCTCGGGAGGGGGGGGGGGTGGATGGATATATAGATAAGTAAAACCTTGACATTTGAGTTATAAAAAGAAAGGAAGCCTGTTAACTTTTAAAAATTCTCAAACTATAAGGAATTTGTTAGCTGGTAATCCAAAGAGTTGTCATTAAAAATATCCCTCATCTTGCAGCAGCTCTATTCTCCAGCCTTCTTTGAATGTCATTTTAGTTGCGAAGTTTTAACCAAACCCCTTGCTTCAGTTTAAAAGGGGTGTTATATATTTTTTAATTTTTTTTTTATTTTTCAAATCTTTTGTTCTATGCTAAAATTCGCCTAATTGAAGGCTTGAGAGCCACCCAAGGTAGGGGTTTACTATTAAAATGGTTAATGATCAATGCAGTGTGATATGGATGAAAGAGGTGGGTGGTAGAAAATTATCAGGATAAGGAGGATAGATAACGATTGACCCTTGCCTTAACGAGGTTAAGATTGTCTTGTAGAGGGTTACTGTTAAAATGGTTATAATGAATAAGTTGGGTGATATGAATAAAAGAGGAGGGGGTAGGAAGTGAAGATGATGAGTGAACCTTGGGATGAAGATGATAAGATTGTAGTATAAAGGGTTACTGTTAAAATAGTTATCATTCATTAGGTGTGCAATACAAATGAAAGAGGTCGTGGTAAGAAGTGAATATCATGAGGGCAAGGAGATTGTAATGAGATTTCTTGATTATTCAGGCCAGTAAACAAAAATATTGTTTAATAAATAAATAGAGCTTCTATTCAAATATGGCTATCCACTTAAAAAAAAAAATGGTTAAGTAATAAAATCTGTCAGATTAATAAATAAAAAAAATCAAAAAAAAATAAATAATAATATATATTATATATATATATATATATATATATATATATATATATATATATCTCAAAGGAGGTGCTGAAAAGTTATTAACTCAACCTACTAACCAAATTTGTATTCCAGTGACCAAATTTTGGAATGCTATATTGTGGGTCAGGTCAAGAAACTTTCAGCAAGTTCCTGTATGAAAACTAGCCATGGTTGATTTTTTTCAAGGCGGGAATGTTATCAGCCTGGGGTGGGGGGGGGAGTTGTCAGTGTCTGGGCCTATTGGAAACTGCCAAACATGTAAGTAAAATTGGGTTGATGAAACTGTTTGGAAGCCATCAATGGTTATTAGTACAAGGTCATAAACTATCATGACTGTTTTCGGTCCGAGCCTGTAGACGTGATCTTTCAGGAGACCCCACAAGAAAAAGCCTGATGTTAGGTCTGGTGATCGTGATGGCCACTCCCTTTCTCCATGTCATCTCGATCTGCCTCATCTCGGAAAAAAAAAAAGAAAAAGTGATACCTTTTCCACATTCTGTACATCGTAAAGATGTGATGAGTGATGTGCTCTGCCTTCATTGTCCTTCTTGGGCTTCACACATCATACTTACTCTGCCGGTGCGCTAACCTGCTTACACCCTTACCTCAATCATTATATATATATATATATATCTATATCTCAAATATGGGGTGCAGTTCAATTTATATTACAATGAATCATTCATACAAAAAGTAGTTTATTAAAGTTAATGATATAAAATGGCGAAATCCCTTCGCTAACAAAATTTTAAAGGTGCATTAACCTACAAATCACTCGATGAATGTTACGATCCTTGATTTGAAAAATTATAAACTGTATAAGGTCTTTCTTTAATATGTAAGTACTTTCAACTGTACATTCAGTCATCCTCAGGTATGGAAATCATTTTGTTTTTTGTAAAATTCAGGTCACATCCAAGGCGCAAAAATTAAATGCGAATCAAAATGTTCATTTTTTTCTTTTCTTTTTTCTCTTTTTTTGAAACTGATACAAACTTTTGAAGCATGCAGTCGCAACGCTAAAGTTGAATTTTTTTCATTTGATTTATAGGTTTGTTTGCAAAAGAATTTTGTCATTTTATATCATTAACTTTACTAATCTATTTTTGTTTTGTATGAATGGTTCATTGTAAAATATATATATATATATATATATATATATATATATATATATATATAGGTAACTATACTTGTTTTGAAAAACCTTCAAATTTTTGATTTGCCAATAATCAAATCAATCTCTAAGGAAAAAAAGGTTTTAAAAAAAGAAAGAGCTAGAAACATGAAAGTCTGTCGTAAAAAAAATCACACATATACAGCTTTGAAGCCCAAAGAAAAAACCCCGACACGAGTAAACAACTAACTAAAAGAGCTCAATACAACCATAGAGCAGACCTAGATAAACCTAGTGAGCTTTCCCTGATGATCCGCTTAGGTGAAACCTGGGTAGGTTTGTCTGGCTCACTAGGTTTATTTATATATATATATATATATATATATATATATATATAAACACACGCACACACACACTCACACATTAAGATCGTATTAAAAATTATACATGTTGAATTTGTTTATTGATGATAATGATTGATTAAATAAGTTTTGTTAATAAGAATCAAAATGTAGAACACTGTGTGGTAAGAGTAATGCTCTTTTTATTAACGTTTATTGAGTGAAAAAAAATTATACTAGTTTAAGAAAATTTATAAGTATTGTCACATTAAAACAGCATGATTTATGATTAACAAACTATTTAAAATGTTCAAAATGCTCCCCCCTCCTGTTCAATACAATGCTGAACTCTATGAACAACAGTTCTCCTAACCATTTGACTGATTTCTACATGAATTTCATAAGAATTTATCAGAAATTGCTTCTTTTAATTCAAATACTGTTTTCAGTATGAGCCTGTAAACAAAATCTTTCAATCAATCCTGCACAAGAAAAGATTTGGTGGTCGTGATGGCCACTGATTTTCTCCATTTTCTTCTCCACCTCAAATTCAAAGAACACAAAAGTAAATAGACCAGAATTTATTTTTCTCCATACCTCTGTCATAGTTTAATAAAAGCGAAACCTGTTAGTGATAAACGTTTCCTATTTAATCTTATTTTGTCAGATTCCAATCCATATTTAATTCCAAACTTGTATATAAATATGCCTGATGATTGCGTATAAGCATGAAACACTGTGACTCCTGAGTGTTGACTTGAATGTCCAGTTTTATATTTACATGTGCTCTGTCCCTCATATTGAGCACTTTCACTCATAAATATATCATACTTTAAAACTATATATATATAAAATGTGTGTGTATATATATATATATATATATATATTATATATATACATATACATATATTATATATATATATATAACGTCATCCACAGACAGACTGTTTCGCTGATTACAGCTCATCAGTGTGGCTAGACATCCGGTTGCCTATAGCTAGGATCGAAACCTGACTGAATTGGTGTCAGTCGGAGCTTCTAACCACTAAGCCATCGGCGCACGGTAGGGATGAAGGTGGATTTTTAGCATATTTATTTTCAGAAACATGCCCAGTGACTGACAGTGACTCAATTCGCTTTCGTGAAGAGTCTCGCTATATAGCTATAATAGTCACTGTTTACCAACCCACACCTCTTCCCCAGAGTGCTCAACTGAAATTAATTTCAGGAGCAGATATAACGTCATCCACAGAAATAGCTGGACAATTGTATTCGAGGATATTTGTCTACTAGGGCAGCTAACCAATCCCTAATTCAGATGCTCACTCCGGCAATTATGCTGAGCAGACCTTAGTTACAGTTTCTGGGCGAGAGCGTTATCTAGCGTGATCAACAGTCTGAACAAAGCCAGCACACTCAAATCCTCGGTCACAATAATTTGTGACTTTGTGCTAGCACAGCTATCGACTGTCCCCCAAGTGTTCTCTCTACTCAATTTCATTCATAAGGTTTCGGTCAACCCATCGTATGGTTTCTCAGGTACTTTCCAAAGGTGCCGCATGCTGGGATCGTCCCCCTCCAGACTGATAACATCGGGAAGTTTCCTTCCTGATAAATCAACCGTGGTTAGATTTGGTCAGGAAGTGAACGTTCTAACCACTCATATCTCTCTCTCTCTCTCCCTCTCTCTCTCTCTCTATATATATATATATATATATATATATAATAAAAACAATAAAATCCAAAATAAGCTATTCGCCATATGAGGTGATTTTTGATTCTTTTGTTTATTAATTATTTGCTCTGTAATAATAAATACATTGATCTCTTTTTGTGGATCAGTTTTAAGATTTTATATTACTAGGATCAACTTGGATTATATACCCATGGTTTTGTTACCTTTACTTATATATATATATATATATATATATATATATTTTATATATATATATATATATATATATATATATATATATTTTTGCCAATGTGTTCCGTCTTCTGACCAGGGTAAGATGATAAACTGTCCATCAGCAAGGCCTCTGATCATAAGGTTTTGATGTGTGTGGAACCATCTCTTAATTGCTGGTGTTCCCAGGCCCACCCTGACCAGGGGTGGTAGCACCTGTTAGAGTCCCAGCTATGGGCAAATAGTTAACCCCAAAACGGAAGTAAAAAGCATTGTAGAAGTGTAAAAATAGGTTTTAATACCAGAAATACTTTGTAAAAAAAAAAAAAAAAAAATTATTACCAGAAATAAATTTTAAAAAAAAAACTATTACCAAAAATACATGTTTTAAAGTAATATTACCAGCTATACATATTTGAGGGAAAAAAAATATTACCAGGGATAGATTTTTGACAAAACAAAAATATTACCAGGAAAAAAAAAAAGTTGTTGGCATTAAATAACCCACTGAGGTTGATATTCCATAAAACACAACAAACTAAACCGTCTTCTATTTATTTCGTATGAAAATACAAAATTGTGGCACAAGGCCGAAGAGGAGAAAAGGGAAGGGCTGGTCTACCTGAGCTGTCCTAGTTAATCCGACTTGCGACCCATTCATTCATTATAATTTACGCATTTACCACAAGAATTTATCAATCACGTCCAATCCAACATAAACCCATACTCACAGGGGAATCTAAAAAACACCCCAAACCAAATCGTCTTCCGATTTTTTTCAAGGTAAAATGAAATAGAAATGTTTTTGTTGTTACATTAAAAACTCCAAAATTAAAATGAGACACGCTTATGCAGAAGCGTCTCTCCCTTTGTAAATTTGGATTTTTTAATGTAACTTTAACAACAAAAAAATTTTGATTTCATTTTTTTTTTTTTTTTTTTTCCAATTGCCATTCTTATAACAATTTGTCTTGTCCACAGAATTGATCTGGGCATTATGTCACTTTTAAACACACTAGGTGACTGGGTATGTATTCCCTGTGGATAAAGGGAGATAACTGTCATTACCAAAATTTAAGCTGCTGTAACTTTTAACCTTGGTTCATCCAGAAACTTCATAACCTAGGGGACAATTACATAAGCAACAGAACCTTGCTTAAGTTCTACAGACTACCATTGAATTCTGTTTCGATCTGCACTCTTTTTCTTCTTTTTCCTCTTCTTTTTTCTTTTCTTTTCTTCTTTTTTTGTTTTTTTTCTTTCCTTTTTTCTTTTTCATTTTTTTTCCCTTTTCTTTTTTCTTTTTTTTTCCCTTTTCTTTTTTTCTTTTTTTTTCCCTTTTCTTTTTTTCCTTTTCTTTTTTCCTTTTTTATTTTTTTTTCCTTTTTTTTTCCCTTTTTCTTTTTTTCTTTTTTTTTTCCTTTTCTTTTTCCTTTTTTTCTTTTTCTTTTTTTTTTTCCTTTTCTTTTTTCCTTTTCTTTTTTTTTCCTTTTTTTTCCTTTTCTTTTTCCTTTTCTTTTTTTTCCTTTTCTTTTTTCCTTTTCTTTTTTTTTCTTTTTTTTTTTCTTTTTTTTTCCTTTTTTTCTTTTTTTTCCTTTTCTTTTTCTTTTTTTTTTTCTTTTTCCTTTTTTTTTTCCTTTTTTTTTTTTTTTTCTTTTTTTTTTTTTTTTTCTTTTTCCTTTTCCTTTTTTTTTTTTTTCCTTTTCTTTTTTCCTTTTCTTTTTCCTTTTTTTTTTCCTTTTCTTTTTTTTCCTTTTCCTTTTTTTTTTTCCTTTTCTTTTTTTTTCCTTTTTTTCCTTTTTCTTTTTTCCTTTTTTTTTCCTTTTTTTCCTTTTCTTTTTTCCTTTTCTTTTCTTTTCTTTTTCCTTTTCTTTTTTTTTCTTTTTTTTTTTCCTTTTCTTTTTCTTTTCTTTTTCTTTTTCCTTTTTTTTTCTTTTTTTCCTTTTCTTTTTTTTTTTTTTTCTTTTCTTTTTCCTTTTCTTTTTCTTTTTCCTTTTTTTTTTTTTCTTCTTTTTCTTTTTTTTTTCCTTTTTTCTTTTTCTTTTCTTTTTTTTCTTTTCTTTTTTTTTTTCCTTTTCTTTTTTTTTTTTTTTTCTTTTTTTTCCTTTTCTTTTCTTTTCTTTTTTTTCTTTTTTTTCCTTCTTTTTCTTTTTTTTTCCTTTTCTTCTTTTTCTTTTTTTTTCCTTTTCTTCTTTTTCTTTTTTTTTTCTTTTCTTTTTCTTTTTTTTCCTTTTTTCCTTTTCTTCCTTTTTTCCTTTTTCTTCTTCCTACCTACACGGGTTTCTCTCTTCTATTCTTTCCAATTTTCCCTATGCCCCCACCCCTGCGTGTTCCCTTTCTACTGATGTTTTCCCCTAGCGCGTTTCCTCTCCTCAACTTTTGCAGGTAAATCAGTAACCGTCCAGAAAAAAATTGACTTGAGCTCTTTAATTAATCAACAAAAATTTTGCCTCTACCATATTTGTCTGAAATCAAGGGAGATAACTTTTTATATATTTGAGGTTTTTTTTTCAAAAATTAAGTGTCATTTAAAAATTACACCCCTTTATTTGTTTGTTTATTTACGGTAATAGATAAATACCTCCTCACTTTCATAAATTGATTGAATTTATAATATTCTATTAAAATATAAATAAATGCAATAAATACATACAAAAATATGTACAAGTAGCTAATTTTTTGACAATATTCATTATGACTTGGAGATGATCAAAACATTTTATTTGCCAGAAAACTGGCTTCAAAAAATCATTAAATCTTGATTTCACTAAAAATTAAAACTTAGAAATTAAGGTTTTATATCAGAATTTTACTTTGTGTTTTTTTTTTTTTTTGTTGAAATTATCATTTAAAAATTATACATGTTGAATTTTGTTTATTTATGACAATGGTTGATAAAATATAGGTTTGTTTTATGAGTATCAAAATGTAGAATGCTGTGTGGTAAAATTAACACCTTTTTTTATTTATTAACTTTTATTGAGCGAAAATAAATTATACTAGTTTAAGAAAATTTATAAGTATTGTCACATCAAAACAGCATAATTTATGATTAACAAACTATTTAAAATGTTCAAAATGCTCCCCCCCTCGTCTTCAATACAATGCTGAACTCTATGAACAACAGTTCTCCTAACCATTTGACTGATTTCTACATGAATTTCATAAGAATTTATCAGAAATTGCTTCTTTTAATTCAAAAACTGTTTTCAGTATGAGCCTGTAAACAAGATCTTTCAATCAATCCTGTACAAGAAAAGATTTGGTGGTCGTGATGGCCACTGATTTTCTCCATTTTCTTATCCACCTCAAATCAGGAAAAAAGAAAAAATGTACATTACTTTTTCTGCAACCCGTACATCATAAAAATGTGATGAGTGATGTACTCTGCCTTCATTATCACTCTTGGGGTTTATATATCATACTTACTCCACCAGTAAACCAGTTTGATTTTCATTGGTCATTGACTCATTTATCAGAAAGTCTTTTAATTCAGGAATTGTTTTCAGTATGAGCCTGTAAACAAAATCTTTCAGTTGACCCCTCCCCCCCAAGAAAACATCTGGTGGTATTAGGTCTGGTGGTCATGATAGCCACTCAATGACTCCATCTTATCTTATCCACCTTATCTCAGGAAAAAAAAGTAAAAAAGAAAAAGGGGCATTACTTCTGCTGCATCCTGTACATCAGAAAGATGTGATGTGCTCTGCCTTCATTGACACTCTTGGGCCTCATACAATAGTCTGAGTAATGTAAATAGTGTACATAATACCTCATCTAGGAAATATAGACAGACTTAATAAAAATAATATTACAATACAATGTAGTAACATCTACATAAAAGCACCAGTTTCTATGCAATGTAATGATACAAAACAAATTTTACAAAATTATGCAGAAAAAAATCAAACTTTAAAAAGTGTCACAATCAAGTTTGAATTTATTTCAAATTGGGAACCACTGATGATTCTAATATGAACACGACAAAAAAATTTGGGGTCCATTACGCATGCACGGCCAAAGCAACATTATGGTTTATTGGTGTGCGGCTTAATGGTGCTGACCTGTGTGTGTTATATATATATATATATATATATATATATACACACACATTAGGACCATAGAGGCACAGCATGTACTGCAGCTGTAATAACAGTAGTGTGTCTTGGGCACAATAGTCTGACAGAACTCATCCCTCTCCAAGCTGGTTTGAATTCAGTTTTCCTTCTCCTAGACTGGTTGCCAGGCAAGGCTACAGAGCCTGGTCTACTCGAATATATTTCTCAGGTATTGAATTCAGTTATCCTTCTCCAAGACCAATTGCCACTTCAGTATATCTTGCTATTCAACCCATAGCTGGGGGGTTGGGGAGAAGAGATGTATTCATACCTTTCCCAAGGGTATTAGTGCATATAGGAATGTAATGAACTTGACTGGAATTCCAACTTGGCTCTCTGATTCCTTAATCCAAGCCGCTATCCATTAGTCCATTGTCTGACATTTTTTTTTTTTTATCCAAACATGCTCAGTATAATGGTTAATTTGAACACTTATCCTACATGCAAGCTGCTAGTGGACCGCTGATGGCAATGTCAGTGGTCTTCTGGTTGCAGCTAACAGTCCACCAGTAGTAACAGTGCTGTGATGAATATGCTGGCGGCCCAACAGCAACCCACCAATCTGCCACTGGGTGGCTTTCTACTAGCATTTACTGCTGGTGGCCCGCTGTCAGACTGCTGACATGTTCGTCTCGGCAATGTTAGCACTGGTGAACCGCTAGAGGCCCACCAGTGGGCTGGCTGATGTTGCCGTCAGCAGTAAGACATGAGCCTTGCATGTAGGGTAGTGGCTGATCGGTGGCATGTGTGTTGGTCAGTCAAGATGTTGTTTATTTATTTACGATATTAAATGACTGGTAATAACAAATTTTCCCCGGTTTGTTTAATGCAATTTGTTTAATATTGAAATTGGTTAAAGCCAGTAAATCAATTGTCTTTGTGTTGCTTTGCGCAGCGAAATCGTAATATAAGTAAATAAACCAATTAAAATACAAATATTAAAACAAACAAACAAATAAATAAAAAAAAAAATTAATGCATAACACATTTTATAGTGTTTAATTTTTATGCATGTATTTTGGAAGTGACAAATCATGCAACGAAACTAAAATATAAATAAACACTATATTATTCAGACTATTGTCCTCATCTTTGTTGCCATATTTATTAGAACGTTTTGGCAATGATAACAGCAAAAATTGCAATATGAGCACTGGTAAGAAATGTTGCTGAAGACATTATGTTTATAATACCCAGAAATTCATACACAGATGTCCACATGACATTTGGCAATATTATTCATCCTGATCTGGCAAATTAGCTTCAATCACTTTCCTGCTGCCATAATTTTGTTACATCCGAACAATTAACAAAATATTTATATATTTTGTTAATTGTTCGGATGAGCTTTGCTATGGGACTTATTTTTGAATTTAAGGACAGTATTAGACCGTCATCAAGATCTTGTTGCAGTTGAGCTGGCTCGATGTAGCCATAAATTCTATGCTAACAGTTTCTTTTCTCGCTTGTGCAACTCCCTCCTGGTTCCATGCTTTCCAACGAACTTTAATATGCAAAAATTTAAATGCAATATCAATCACTATCTCCTGTCCTCATGATGACTTTTATTCTTCCCACTCATTATTAATGTTTCTGTTCCTAATTCTTTCACACCCTGTAACCCCTTGTGTCTTAGTGGCTTTATTGCCTTGCTTGTAGAACTTCCTTCTGACTCCATGCTTTCCAGTCAACTTTAATCTGAAATAATTTAAATGCAATATCAATCGCTATCTACTACTCTCCTGATTATTCTTTTCTCTTTCCGCTCATTATTAATGTTTCTGTTCCTAATTCTTCCACACCCAGTAACCCCTTGTATCTTAGTGGCTTTATTGCCTTGCTTGTGGAATTCCCTTTTGACTCCATGCTTTCCAGTCAACTTTACTCCGCAAAAATTTAAATGCAATATCAATCACTATCTACTCTCCTCCTGATTACACTTTTCTCTTTCTACGGATTATTAATGTTTCTGTTCCTAATTCTTCCACACCCAATAACCCCTTGTGTCTTAGTGGCTTTACTGCCTTGCATGGAGTGATACCAATTCAAAACAAAATGAAAGCACATGCGCACACACACACACACACATCCGTATGGATAATCCCAAGGAGGATGTAATCCAGGGAGCTCGATTTAAAACCAGAGTGAATATTAGTTTAATTAAAAAACGGACAACCTTAGGGGTCTATTGATTATATTTTATTTTACCATGAAATGTGATCTGCAGAACCAGGAAAAAAAATTTTCCTGGGGAAAATAAAATATAATCAGTGGACCCTTAAGGTTGTCTGTTTTTTAATTAAACTTATATATTTTGGGCAGAAACCTTTCTTTTAAGCATTTTATGACAGACAAGGAAAATTTAATTTTTTATTTAGTTTTCCCAGCATGCTAACATTTTTCTCTTTAGTGAGAGTTAGGGAGTGAAAGAAATTGTTCATTATCCCAAGCACTTTCGGCCATTTCTTTAGTCATTTTCAAGGGGGTTTATTGTCGGTATTGTTAATGTTGTTTTGACTGTTTAAGATGTTTCATTTTTGTGTTGAGGAGGTTACGTCAAAAATTATCTGCACTTTTGCCATAACATACCTTTCGGTTTGTCAAACTGCCTTCGGCTCTTGCATGCTTACAGTTGGTAAACATGGCTGCTCCGGCAAGGTGGTACGAAGAGCAATGATCAGAATCTGCAGAGAACATGCTGCGTCATTGATGATAATTTGCCAGTTTGCCATTACTATATCTTGAGTTCGCTGAATCTTCTTATCAGTAGTGGAGGCTGATACGTATGCATGTTATATACGTATGTATGTGTGCATGTTATATACATATGTATATAACATGCATACGTATATAACGTGCGACGTATATAACGTGTATATATAACGATATACATACATGTAAATATATATATATAACATGTACATACGTGTATAACATGCATACATACGTATATAACATGCATACATTCATATCTGCATTTATAACATGCATACATACATATGTATATAACATATGTACATACGTATATAGCATATATCATATGATGGCTGCAAACTCATTCTTGAGCATTGTCATTCCTTGAATACCCGTAAAAGAGCGCATTGATGAGCTGCTCTGATGTGGCTTTTTAGTCCAGCTAAAGACATGCATTCTTTGGCACAGGTGCAGCAGACATGAACATCTCTGGCAACAGTTCTTGCAACATTGTTGCCATCTATTTTAACATGTTGTTTTAATCCT